AAAAGGGCATGTGGATGCTCAGTCCCTCTTATCAGAGCGGGGAATTCCATATAAGGATATCAGAGCGGGGAATTCCATAAAAGGGTACAGGAACATCTTCCCACCTTGCAGGCCTCTACTGACAGCAGTTTTTGGGAAATGGCATGGAGGCTATAGAATACACAGTTTTGGGTTACACCCATCCAGGGATGAATTGGTCCCAGCCGTTCTAACCAGGACAACAGGTTAATGGGAACAAGAAAGCACAACACACAAAAAAAAAGTCAAGTTGTGCTACACCTCTTTCAGTTAAGTGGAGTAATTTACAACTGCTCTGTTGAGATGCATCAGCACTGAATAAAATAATATAATGTGCCACTTAAGGGATTCTGCAGATTGATAATTTATTGTCTGACACTGAGTGCATAGTTTGTAGGCAATTTTCCACTAGTCTTCACTCTAAATTAAGTGTTCACTCAACCATGTTCCATTTGTGCCCGTGTCCAGGCAGTTACACAGCTCCCATCACTGGATAAAAGCAATGCTTTGTGCATCCCATATAATTCATATTTAGAGGATTAGATATAAAGTATTTATGCATGTATTGTTTACAATTTGCAGTTCAATGGAAAGAAATACAACTTTCCCCAAACCAAAAAAAAGTCACCACTCAGTTGTGGGTGTTGTATTTATGGGCTTCACATACATTTTCAGAATACACTTCTATTCTGAAAGAAATCTCATAGCATTTTTATATACAGAATGTACAGTTTATCAAAAGAAGATGTATTTGGATAAAAGGAGAAAAATGTATTACATATTCTTTTGCCCCTCAAAAATTCAAACCCGAAGAATTTATCTCAACAGCCTCTCATTCTGTAGTGGTTTGTCACTTAGTAGTAAGTCAGTGTGTAAAGTCTGGAGGACTGGACTCACAGCCTCACACTGAAAATAGTGCCCTAGGAGATGTTTATCAAGTCCATATTTTGTTAGAAGCTGGGCCAAGGGGACTTATTCATTCCTTCTAATAAAGCAATATTGCAATACTTCTCTTTGCAAGAGACTGGGTTCAATTAGAGTAAAAACACAAAAAACCCAGAAAGAGTCATGGTGGTGAGTCATGGTGCTGAGAAGCAAGGGATAAAATAGATAAGATTTTTGGACAGTTGAGGAAGGCCTGAGAATGTGGTAGATAAATGGTGTGCCTTGAAATAAAGCACAGCACCTCAAGCACTGGTGCAGAGCACACAACAGAGGACTTCCTATCTGAAGTCACTGTGCATTACAGCTCTTGTTATAAAGTAAAATAGGTCCAAATATCAGTGCTCACACTGGGTGGCACCACGGGAATGTCCCAAAGGGTCAATGTGTTAAGATATCAGCTGGCTTCCATACACAACTGAAAAAAACTATCTAGTCTACTCTTCTTTTCCTTAGACAGCCCCTCTTCCTGTTTAGAGGATCATTTAGTGCCTGTCCCAACTTTAAAAGATCTGAGAGCACTCACTTCAGCCTCTGCGTTTTTCTCACTGAAGCCTCTTTTCTTTCCCACTGGCAGAAGTTTATGACCATCTCCATTTCAACACTATTTGACTTCAAACTGAAATGATAGTGCACGGGGCCACCTCCCACCCCAGGCTCATTTCTCAGCAGGCTGGCAACAAAGTCCATCTTTATTTCACCTTTGCAAGTCAGCCAAAGTTCCCAATAAATTCCTGCCAGTGCTTTCGGTTCAGGTGTCAGCCCCCGGCCACTGGGATTTAAATTGTCACTGCTGTGATATTTGCATATTTCAAAGAGAGAATTTGCAAAAATATGAATAAACAAGGCTTTGGAAAGCCAGCAAGAATGCACAATTTTTGGACATGTTACCAAGAAACAGAGCTAAAAAATGTACAAAGGAGTAGCATGATCAGAATTTTGTAAAGTTTGAGGAAGTTAAGTTCTAGCTCAAGGGTCATGAGATCAGCAGAACCTCCCCCTCAAACATATCCCCTACCCCAAATCTCTTTGCACTAAGACTATTAAGGAGCTCAGTTGTCCATAACCTTTTGATTTAATGCTACAGCATCAGTTAAATTTTCAAAGAACTCAGTTTTCTCTTTTGGTATAAAATACTTGGTAAAAACAGCACATTTCTTGGCTGTGTGTCTTAATTGTTTATAAAGTTCCTCAGTCAATGGTCAAGTGCTTCTAGAAAATTAAGAAAAAACCCACTACATTTTAAGTCCACTTTTTTTTGTACTTCTAGTTGGTTCTCTCAAGCTCAAGCATGAGCCAGTGATAACATATATTGGACTTGAAGCCCATGTCTTCTTTTTAACTTCTTGGGACTGCAACACACTGAGTGGAATCTCCCAAAGGAAAAGAGTGGAGAAAACATTACTGAAAACTCTTTACTGACACCTATCCACTTAAAAAACACTTGCACTTCCTAAACCAAATATTCACAGAATATTCAAAAGAGAAAAATTTTGTTGGTCTTGGTTTCTGTAGGAAACAAATTCTTTATCTGTTCAAATGACATAAAGCCAGACACAAAAGTATATCCAGGCCATACTCGACACCCAGCCTTGGTACACAGGCACCTCCAGAAGTTTGTCAATGAGTCTGATTGTCTGATCCTGAGCAGCAAATGGGAGATTTCCTTTTAATTTGGGAGGGGTGTGGGGGGATATTTTATCTGCTTAGATCCTGAATCCTTTTTCACATAATTTCTACCATTTACGTCCCCTCCCTTAGCACTGCAATCCCCCATAAATACATCTGTGGCCAATTAATTCACACATATCACTGGTTGATTCTCTAAGGAAAACTTCCAGTTTAACTTCTGATACTCTCTCTGTAGCTTGTCTCAAAAGGATATTTGACTTGGGAATAAATTACTGGAGTTATTCTCCCTTAAGCACATTTATTATTGAATTTAAATAATAAATGTATATATATATTTTGGAGTTTTTTCCCACCTTTAGCAACGTTCAATTCCTCTGTTCTGCTTGGAGCTCAAATCTGGGGATTTGCACTTTCCTCCATGTGCACTTAGGTTCTTTCAGCATCGTTCAATTCATGGTACAAAGAATTTTACCAGGGAGAAGCCATAAAAATTATGGACCACACGCCATTGGCTCCAGCAGGATATTCTCTAATAACAGGGAAATGTGGCACCCCTGCAGTCAGTTACTGACAGTCCAGAAATCAGTTTAATAAATAGGTTTTCCCTGAGAGCATGAATTGATCCAGTGGATCTGCCTCGGGCTCTTTATGGCTTTGGGTCTGGCGCTGCGTGTGAATCCCGACTGACCCCTCCTGTCTCTCTCCGCACAGCGCTTCCCTCCAACAGGAGCGGCCCGAGCAGCGACTTCCCCGGCTATGGAGAGAACGGGAGCGACTCCAGCCTGCTGGTGTCCCCGCTGCTGGTGGCGGGGGTGGTGATCGGGCTGGTGCTGTCCCTGTCCTGTGCCACCATCGTGGTGGGCAGCCTGCGCAGGGACGGGCGGCTGCGGCACCCCCGGCCCGGGACAGGGGCTGGGGACGGTGAGTGACAGAAACGGGGACTGACCGGGGATGGGGAGTGACAGAAACGGGGACTGACTGGGGATGGGGAGTG